ATTTTGACAATCCCCCAAATGATTATATAGGGGAATAGTAGAGGGGTTACTAACGGGAATACTAGGAGTTTAGACTATAGCTCATTTAGCTCATTTAGGGCTTAGGGTTTAGGGTCTGGGGCTTAGGGGCCTCTTGTCAAAAAGAAAAAGGACATTGAGCTTAGCATGCAGATGCTACAGGCTTTTCTAGGGATCCATTCCTGAACCTCAAAAAAACCCTTGACCTTATTCATGTCCTACTAACAGCAGGCAGGCTCCATCGAAACCAGAGTTAAAGGCTCTCTAAAAAGCAAATTCTTGAGTAGGGTTTGGGAATTAGTTAAAGGTTCGGGGCTTCGGGGCTTAGCGGGTTGGGAAATCCCTAAACCCTAAACCCTAAATAGCTTGCATTAGAGGCGACGCAGAAAAGCCCCGAACGACTGAAACCTGGTAGGATCTCAAAGAGGAGCCAAGTGAGGGTAACCCACAAAGGAAGGCCCCCAGGGATTTAGGGTTTAGGGTCTAGGGGCCCCAAGCAGTCTGGGGAGTATGAGGGGATGATGGAGAGTCTCCTTATTTGGGGTTCTTGAGAAATGTCCAAGTCTCATCATCTGAGCGGACAATGAAGCCCCGCTGCTTCAACTCGCTACGAAGTTGCTCCAGCTTGCCTTACCGGTGGTAGTAGTGATGGGGGAACTACATCCCTATACTAGTCCTATGTAGTCCCTTCAGATTCCCTCATATTGTTAATGTGTGCATTTCCTTTTTCTTAAATGCTGAAATCCATGAACATTTCTTTCAATTAGCTTTTCTGCTCCTTTATTCACAACGAACTACTAATCACCAGAAAGTTGCTGGAAGTGGCCAGGACATCGACGTCTGCAGCAGGACAGTTGATCCTAGGTTCTCAAGCCCGGGCTGCAGGATGAGGGCTCAGTGGGGAATATACCCCAATAATGGAGAATCAAATGGAAAAGAAAATGGAAAATGAAATGGAAACTGGGATTATGTAGGGGTTTATAAGGCTTCTCCCTTAAGGGTTTATATTGGGAGAATGGGAAAGAAACTGGAAATTACTATAGTATATTAGGGTCATATTGGGATAATGGAAAAGAAAATGGAAGCTACCATAGTATTACTTGAGGGCTCAGGGTTTTGGGGCAGTTGGGGATTGGCCTTCCAAGCCTCGCAAGAAGGTTGAGCGCTTTCTGTAAGCCCTAAACCCCAAACCCTACACTCAATAGTAATAGTAGTACTAGTAATAATAATAGTAATAGTAATAGTAATAGTAATAGTAATAGTAATAGTAATAGTAATAGTAGTAATAATAATAATAGTAATAGTAATAGTAATTGTAATTGTAAGCTCCACCACATGGAATCCCAGCGTCTGCATGAGGAACGAACCCCTGCGCTTCATGGCTTTGGCGGAGCGGAAGTTAAATCGCTGTGCTTTCTTTGCCTGGGCACTTCTTGGGGATCCTAGCCGTAAATGGTAATTTCCCTAAATTAGGGGACTATAGTATATTGGGGACTATATTGGGGTCCCCTAATTTTGGGAAATTACCAATTGGTGTTTCCCAGGAAGTAAGAAAATGTCTTTTGCATTCCTGATATGGAGTAGTGGATGTTCCTTGTATTGCTTAGTATCATGCCCGGTTGCCAGCGGCAGCTGGGTGGTGGCCGTGCATGCAACAAGCGATGCGGCAAGCCACGCGAGCAAACCCAGGAAGAGAGGGCAGCTGTACATGTGGTCAAAGCCTAAGGCCAAAATCACCCCGGAGGTGTCTGGGTATTTCTGTGCATAGAAGGCAGGCGATTCGCCCTGCTCAATGAAGGTGCCAAGGCCCGACAGGCCCGCAACCACGAACATCTGCACGAGCGACGCCGCAAAACTGGCCCATGCCGAGCTGCCCAACACGGGCTTCAGGGGAGTCGGGAGCTCTAAGCTCAGCAACCACTCCTCAATGGCATTGTCTGGTGTCTCAGCATCTCCCGGCCGCTTTGCCACAGTGCCTTGGAGCGCTTGTCGGCTGCGACGTCTGGCCAGGCAGGCTGTAGCAGTCAAACCTGCCACAGCAAGCGCAGGGCTTGAGGAGCAGCGCGCCGAGGCGCTGCTGACACTACCGCTGCTGGGGTTCGGCCGCCCGAGGGCCGCAGGCGCCAGGGTAGCTGAAGGTAGCCTGACTTGGATCCCAGGAGCCCTAGGGCAGGGCTCCATAGCTGGCCACTGATTGTTGCTTGGAGCTGATACTCTGGTTGTTGTTTGTTGTGTGCTTCGCAGCCAGCTTTCGTCCGGCGTGTCAAAGACTCAGGTTTTTGACCTAGCTACCTACATGCTCTACCCCTGAATCTGACACATTGACTGACACTTGCTTTGGGATACAGAGCTGTTCTACCTTCATCTGTCTGACTCATCGCCTCCTGAAGGTCCATGCGCAAAGCTATTGTCCATACTTTGAGAAGCTGAACAGGGCAAGGGCGTCAGGACTAAACTTTGAGAAAAGCCTTGCTGAAGGTACAAGTTCCGCACCTTCCAAGCAGCAACACCCTAGCAAGCAGGCGAAACTGAGCAATGTTGCAGTAGAGTCAGCGTCACCACCATTTTCTAGCAAAATCATTGGCTCCCAAACCGCCCTCGGAGCGGCTACACTAACATCTGCTTCTCTGCAGGCTACTATACACAGTTGCAATTCTGGATGAGCTGCCGTCTTGCCCTTTGGGAGGCGTTCGTGCGCAAGGGGCATTACAAAGCCTCGCACGACCCAAGTCATCATAAAGGAGGCCCAACTAGTGCGGATGATTCTCAAACTTCGGCTCTATTCGGCCTCTCTCTAGACTATACATCAGTCAGTCATCCAGGGCGCGGCAAGCTGGTAATCTACTACTGGCACGCTTGGCAGCACTTGCAGCAACCTGAGACAGCTAGACAAGCCAGCCTTTTAGGGACCACTGAGGGATGGAGTCCTCGTTATGCAGAGATTACGCAAGGGTTGTGTTGAGAAAATCCAATGTGCCCAGAAAGCTTTGCAAGGGGTTAATGCTATGCATGCAGACGCTACAAAGCTTGAGGGATCTTCCCTGGCCTTTTACACGATTGTCTTAATTCAAGCTCACCCATTAGTTTACAGTCTATAATAGGGGTCATAGTAAGAGTATATAAAAAATCATTGATTATCACTATAGTCCAACTGTTGATGGGTGGGGGCAGTACCCAGATGTAGGCCTCTGTCGGACGGTCTGCCCTGTGAGAGGAGGGTCATGAGGCGTTGAATTTTGTGGGCAGATTTCAGGTTTTGGAATCTTGCGAAGAATTTTGTTTGAAGCCTCTGTCATGCGCCCAAAGGAACGCCACAAATTCCCACAATATCTCCATTTATATGCCCAAAAGAATATGGTCCCCAAGACACGGGCCCTGTATCAGGACTCATAATTCATTGAAAACTCTTTGCATCCTCAACGCAATCGGCCCCATGGTGAGTAGCCCTATACGTTGCGTAATCTGCCCCTGAAATTTAGCCTGAACCCGAAACCTCAACTCCTAAAACCTAAATCCCAAACCTTGAGCCCTTACCCTGAACCATGAACCCTATACTAAACCCCACCCCTAAACCCTAAACCCTACACTGAATCCCAACCCAAAACCCTGAACCCTAAACCCTATACTGAATCCCAACCGTAAACCCTGCACCTTAAACCCTATACTAAATCCCAACCCTAAACCCTATACTAAAACCCAACCCTAAACCCAAACCCTGAACCCTAACTAAACCCCACACTAAACCTCAACCCTAAACCCACCTGTATGCCTGTAAAAGGAGCCCCAACCTCAGATTTTTGGTGACTGAACCAAGTAAGATTACATTCCCTATAGGTTGAGGGCTTAGGGTTTTACCCAAAGGGAGGATCTGATCTTATACTCTATTTTGGGGACTATAACATCTCCGAATAAGACACTACTCAGCTGAGCCTCATAGGGGACTAGCATTCCTGTTACCAAGCATTACTACTGCGAGATCTACTGTACTATCATTGTCACTGTTCGAGTTTCCTACTACAAGGAATATTCAGAAGTATAGTTCTCAGAGATAGGGACATTGCGGGGCCGTACTCCGAAATGATTCCCCAAACGTTTCAATTCTCAAGGATGTTGTGAAGAAGATCCTCCTAATCAGATGATACCACGCAACCCCTAACCAAATCCCTAAGCTAATTGCTTAGACCCCTACGTTTGGCCCAGACCCTTGAGCCCCGAACCCTGCTTTGACGCAGTACTCCCCAGACCCCTGGGAGGATCTAAAAAATTAGATCCCCTATATAGACCCATTATAACCCCTAGATAATCCTTATATAATTTGGTTCTAGGGGATCTAATTTTTGGATCCTTTTGGGGGTCTGGGTCTCCATGTGATTCGCAAGGCCCGGGCTTAAGTCCGGCTAGGCCAGGTCCAGGTGAATGGGATTCATCCGAAGTCGCGACACAACACCTTAGGACGTTTTAGGGTTTAGGGTTTAGTGATTCATGTAGGGTTTAGGGTTTGCTGTCGGAATCAGGGAATATACTCCATAGGGATCATATAGCGATCATTTTCCTGTATTCCCTACTAACCACCTCTAAGGTTGGCGGGGGTTAGTACTTCTCGAGGGGTTTCAAGATCTGGGCTATCCCTTTTGCGGGTTCATGTAGGGATTCTATGACAGCTTGCATGCCATACGGCTCCCAAACAAATGACATTTGATGCTGGGAAGGTATTCAAACTGGAGCCCGGATACCGGAGCCTCACAAGGCATTTAGGAAAATCACAGAATCGGGGCCCGTCAAAGAAGCCCAAATCCTGAAAGACCTCATCCTATGCAACCCAGAAAAGGACGTCCCACGTTATCCGTGAATGGCATAGCCAAACCATGTGCCCCTTCACTGCCGTTGAAGAAACTCCTGAAGCGGTTCACCCCAGATGAGGAATACACCAGAACGCTCTGAAGCCTCTCTACGTTCTAGAAACTTCTGCGATCGCATTTCTCCTCTTGGGTCTCATTAGAATGGCAGAATGACAATCAACAAGCAACAGAATTTCTGATCGCCAGTAACCACCTATAAAGCATCCAAATAACGTCATCAATGGCAAATGCAATTGCTCTATGCAAGTGGCACTGAGCCGCACAGCTAGACATCAAATCGTGACCTCCTCGTCTGGCACTCACAAAATTTTCTAAACCCTAAATTAAGGCCATCCGGGGTCATATTCCCAATAACTGCTACAATTGAGCCGTGGGCTCACGTGATCTTGCTACAAACTGCTCAGAGGACAATCAGCGTTGAAATTGTCGTTCTAAACGCGAATCTGCTCGAACACGGCGGGAGGGAGCAAGCCGCTCGGAGACCGGGTAAATTTGGTAAATCGCCTATAACTTGGGTGCTGCCCCCACTCAGTAACAGTTGGACAATACTTATACCATGTGCACTATGGGTATATAAATATATGTCATACATACATATAAAAACATAAACCAATAATGCTTCAAGCCCTACACCCTAAACCGCCGCCGAACACTAATGTGCAAAAAAAAGGGTAGAACCCTAAGGCGCTTTAATCCCAAAACCCTTTAACTTAAAAACCCTGAACCCACTCAGATTTGACTGTGTAAGTGAGATGTTTTCCGAGGCCGCCTACCTGCTTCATCTTGGAACCTGAGCACACACGGTTTTTGGATTAGGGTCTGGGGTTTGGGGTTTAGGGTCTAGGGTTTAGGGTTTGGGATTTAGGTCAGCTTTGAGACAAGCCTGGAAAAAATCACGCCGGGCTTGGGCTCTTCAATATAGGGTCTGAATAGCTACCAAGAATCATGCTGATATTTGAGGTACCCTATACCATGATGGCGCAAGGAATTTAGGACAATAATGTTGGTAGCTATTCAAGCACCTACATTTCAGAACTCTTTTAACCCTCTAACAGATGACAGCTTCCACATCATCGTCCAGCGTGTTTTGCGTGTCTTCTAATCTATAACAACCCCACGTAACTGTCATACAGGTTCTCTAGGGTCCTTCTGGGAGTGGAGAAGGTTTCTGGTTTGCAGGATGTGCGTGCACTACTGGAAAGTCACAATCTGTGAGACGTGTGTACGGGGCGGGGGGCTGGGGGTGATACGGTAGTTTCCCAAAATAGGGGGACCCCAATATAGACCCCAATATACTATAATCCTTAATATGGGGACCCCCAAAATGGCACCCCTAATTTTAGGAAACTCCCATACTGACACGTAAGGCCGCAGCATGACGAAGCAGCAGCCAGAACCATCATCGTCCGCTTCCACAACGCCAACCTGCACTGATATGGAGACAACCGCCGCAATCCCTTCTTCTTGGATGGCAGAAACTGTAGACTGCAGCAGGACTCTAAGCAAAACCCTACAAGTATAGTCCCCCTTAAGTAGATGGAATATGGCTTTGGATATATTATCATAAGATCCCCATATACACCATATTCTATCTACTTAAGGGGGGCTGTAGCCCTCTAAGTCCCCCTGCTACCATAGGGGTGACACCTTCCCACCAGGACTCGAGCAGGGCCTGAAAATCTGATTTCCAATGAGCCCACATGAGCCATACATAATCTAGACTCCTTACAAAGGGTTATATACGGGATTATATAGGGTCTACGGTTTAGGGTCTAAACACCTTAAAGTGGGTTCTTTGGTGGATTCTATAGGAGACTACTGTAAGGTTTTTTAAGAGGGATACTAGGCGTGTAGACTATAGCTCACATGCCCAAGCCTTGCCAGCATGCGCTGGCAGGGACTGTTTCACTCGAACTCGATCTCCGGGCCTCAAGCAAATCATGTCAAAAGCAGTCACCAAACAACAAAAAATGAGCAAACTAGCAAAAGAAATGACAACCACTATAACTGCATATCTAGATAGTTACAACGATGAGAGTTTCCTGGAAAGACCGGGAAAGGATGAGGTTTTAGATACATGTGATGATGATGGTGGTGACGATGATGATGAAAATATAGATGCTCATGTAAGAGGCATAGCGTGGGAGTATGTCCATGGCAATGCTCAGAATCATGGGCATCTTTTGGATATCACGTGGCATATTGCATTATAGGCTTTTGAGTAACGGGACCCTAAGTTCAACAAATAATCCAGATCAAGCCCGCCCCCAGGGCTTCCCCGCCTGCATGGACTATTGAGCTCTGCTCGGAAAGGGGTGGCAT